AGTCGGCTCCCGCGCTCAAGGATGTCTGGCGGGAGCGCGGCGCGGGCGGCCACCAGGGCGTGCGTCTTCATATACCTGAGCACGCTCTTCTCTGAAGCCCACCGCCCGCGCCGCTGGATGGCCCACGCCGTCCTGTAGCCCGTCGCCGCGTCGTGGCTCGGCCCCGAGTGCCTGGCAGCATGGGGCGGGAAGTGCTCGACACCGACGTCGTCGCAGGCTCGCCTCAGCGCCCGGCGGTAGGCATCCACCGAGCAGCTGAAGACTCGGTCCGAGGGGTCTCGCTCGGACTTCCTGCGCACGAGCATGTCACTCACATGCCGACGGTCGATCAGCACGCCCTGCCTCACGCCCGTCTTGGTCCTCTCGCCACGCTCGGTCACCCCGAGTCGTAGAGCAACGATCTACTCGCCCGCCTCGTCCACGTCGACCACGATGTCGGCCGCCCGCAGGGCGAACAGCTCCGCGGACCTGAGGTAGGCGTCCAGGGCGACCTCGGCGGCGTCAGCGGCCTCCACGCTCCCAGCCAACCTCATGGCCTCGTCCAGCACGGCCCAGAGCTCGCAACGTGAAGTCGATGCCAAGCTCGAAGAGCTCGGTTGGACCTCGGCAGCCCCGTCGAGAGCTCGGGCCACACGTAGGCAAGCCCATGCACAACGAAATCTCCTCGATGCGGGCCCACCTCCTCATCCTCGACCAGGCGGTCCAAGTAGCAAAGAACGGAGTCGTCGATCTCCTCTCGGCTCATCATCGGCAGGTTCACCTCCAGCGCGAAGTTCAGGAAGCGGCGCACGTTGGGCACGTAGCAGCCCAGCGCCGTCTTGGTGGAGACCGAGAACGGCAGCAAGGCCAGCCCATAGGTGGTTCTCTCCCGCCGTTGCGCCCCCTGTGGGTGCGCGCCCTCCGCGTCGTTCCTGCGGTGGGTGTTGCCCATCTTGCGGTGCTGAGCGTGGTGCCGTAGCCTCTCTTCACAGACGGCGTCCGATAGAAAGGGTAGCAGCAGCCAACCCAGGAGCACAGACCACCGCGGGCAACTGGACCGGCACGCGGTCCCGGCCGACGGCTGCTCATCATCCACGTCGGGCCCCCCGAGACGTGGCGATCGTCGATGGTCAGGCGCCTGGTCACCAAGTCGAACCCGAAACATCGCACGAAGATCTTCCAGCTCCGTCCAGTGTTCCTGTTGTAGCCGCTGTCTCTCCGTCGGGATCGCTTCTCGAAAGCTCGCGACGAAGCGATCCTTTTGATCTTGCGTCTGCCTCCAGGCGCTGCTGCAAAGATCTCTGATGATGTCGGTGATCGTGTGGCGAGGGAGCCCGCTGACGAGTAGGCGCCTCAGAGCCTGATTGGGGCCGCTCAGAAGTACATCCGTCATGAAGGCCACGCGCCACTCCTGCCACTCGGTGCCATCGGTGGCCCGCTGCGTGAGGTCGCTGTACCACTGCTGCGCCCAATCCTGTAGATCTTGCATCATGTCTGCGCAATCTTGCACCGCTTGCGCTCGAACATCGTCGGGCATGGGCGGAGGCCGGCCCATCGCACATGGGCTTCCGTCCCCAGTCAACCCGAGGCTCGACGGAAAGCTGCAGGTAATGACTCCAGCAACGTAGCGTCCCGGCGCCTGCGCTCCAGGGTCTCTGAGATCAACTGCTTCACGGCCCTCTCGGTCAGGTCGGCCTCCCGTCTCTCCTGCATGGTCAGCGTCGCGCCCACGTGGCACTCCGCCAACATCCTGCAGAAGTCGGAAGGGTACGCCTGGGCCACCCTTGTCCGAAAGCGACCGCTCTCGTCCTTGCCACAGAGGCTCGCCGAGTGGTTCTCGTGCGCGCAGGGGCGAACAAACCGCTGCATCCCGAAGGCCGCCCCCGTGAGCGTCGTCAGCTTCAGCGCGGGGCAGCCCCACATGCACTGCGGGAAGGTCACTCGGTAGGCACCCAACTGGGCCTCCCAGTCCACCAGCTCCTTGGTCACGAAGATCGAGGGAAACGGCGGACAACCCGGATCGGCAGGATGCTCGATGGATACCGAGCCGCCCGTGAGCCCGATCGCCTTCAGGATCCTCAAGCTGCTCAGCAACTGCGCGTTTCCAAGCTTCACCTTCTTCGCGTCGTCCCCTCGCAGACCCGGCCGACCCCGCAGCTGATCTCGCAGACGTAGCGGAGGGGGGCCTCCAGGCTGGAAGCGAACCCGCGACCAAGTAGAGCATGAAGGGCCTGAGTGTCCCCCGTCCGTCTCCACTTCCGCCAGCAGCTCCAGCCTCCGCACGTTGACCTCGTCCGTCAGGTCGAACTCCGCCCCGAAGCCGATGTCCACGTTGGTGCAGATCATCAGGTAGCCTCGCGAGCCCGCGATCCTGAGCAGCCAGTCCTCCAGGTCCCCGATGCGCGCGTGGCCACTGCAGAGGTGGACGAAGCGAAGCACCTTCACCGGGATCGAGACGCCCATCCTGAGCGGCTGGAAGGGGTCCACCTCCGCCAAGTCCGCCAGGGCCTCGATCCTCGAAGCCACCTTCTCCGGCAACACCAGCTCGTCCGTCCTCCGCTCCTTCGGGGCCTGCCCAATCGGAAAACCTCGGCTCGGCCCGTCGCTGTGGTTGCGGTCCGACGGCACCCGGCGCCAGTACTCCCGCATGCCGCACCCGAGGTCGAGGGCGGCCATTCTCCTGCACAAGATCAGAATGGGCCGGCTGGCCGATCTGCCCTTGCTGAAGCCGCCGAGGCAGACCATCGAGTCCGCGATGCGTAAGTGCCTCTTCCCCCAGCTCGCCCGGGTGCGGGCCGAGTGCCTCGCCGCGGCCACCCCCGTGCGCATCTCCAGCAAGTTGATGTGCTCCTTTTCCTCCCAGCGCTAGCGCACGACCTCCTTCCACCGAGCGATGTCGTCCCAACGCTCGTGCACAGGCGGAGCGCGGATCCGGGTACCCAACTCCACGTCGGTGCCCACGCGTCTGAAGGCCCCCCCCTCGCACCAGGCGTCCGCAGCCCAGGGCGAGGAAATGCCCGTCCAGACGGTCCAGCCTCCTCGAACTGCATATCGTGCTTCTCGACGCTGCTCCTCCACCGTTGCCACCGTAGAGATGAGCGCACCACCGTAGAGGCTCGCATCGAACATCATCACCATCGGGCCCCAGGGCGTCGAGAGGTCCACCGAGATCAGCGGCGCCAAGGCCGCAGCCGCAGCCAACTCCCTCAGCACTTCCCGTGGGACCTCGCGCCGAGCTCCACCTCGGAACTCCATGCACCATGCGTACACGTCCGCGAAAACGCTCAAAGCACCACGGCAGATCAGGAAGCCCCAGGACAGGATACCAACGATCCGCGCGACGGTGTCGGGTAGTTCCCACTTGTGGATCAGGAACTCCCGTATGCCGAAGACCGCCAACCACATCTTGTCCTGGTTCGGCGCCAGACGAGTTCCCCGAAGATCGCCACCGATCATGCGAGCGTCCGCCGCGCAAGCATCCTTGTGCACCTTGAAACCTGCGGACACCACCAACTCCTTGGCACCGAGCCAGATCTCCTCCACCGTCGTCGCCGCCTCCTGGCCAGGCCGTGTCGGCAAGTCCAGGCCCATGATGCCGAAATCGTCGATGTACTCGTAGTGCGCAGCAGGCAGACCCCGACTGAGATGGGGTAGCGGCCCGCCTTCGGCCAAACGTTGGTCGCCTGAAAGCGAAGAAAGCCCGAACTGGGGCCCAGTATTGAAGATGTCCTCCATGGTCGTCTGAGCCATCCAGCACGCCCAGGAGAAGCCCATCAGCGCAACCTTCACCCCGGCGTAGGGCCCACTCCCAGGCAGAGACGAACCTTCGGGAAGCAGCGCGTCCAGCGCATCCCCAGACACGCCGGGCAGCACGAAGTACGGCGCCAGCTCCTCCCCCAGCTCCAGCGTGTAGTAGAAGTCGGGGAGGTCGCCCGTGCCGAAGCACATGATCACGCCATCCCCCTTCATCTCCTCGGACACGTCCAGAAACGACATCGCACTGACGCCGCCCATGGCACACCACGGGGGAGACCGCCATCGCATGTTGGAGCGCCTCTGGTCGAACACCAGCCTCAGGGTCACCTCGGGCTCGCTCCCCACCAGCTCCGCCTTCTTCACGACGCAAAAGAGCCCGACCTCGTCCACCTTCACTGCAGTGCGGCACAACATCCCCGCCAAAGCCATCCGTCGGGCCAGCTGTAACATTTCCTTCTTATTGCGGAAATGCGGGTCCACGTAGTTGCGTATCTCGCAGGCCTGAACACAAGCCTCGCCATCCTCTCTCAACATCTCCTCCTTGAACATCTCCAATTTCTGTGCCACGCGAGGCGACGCAGACCTCACACTCACAGGTCTGGTCCCCGGAGGAGGTAGAGCGACTCGGTCCGGTCCCATTGAGCTGGAAACGTCTCGCCCCTGTCCGGCAGCCGTCCACTTCCGCCAGCACTCCTCCTCCGAAGTTCGGCCACCCTCTGTTTGAAGGTGGACTGGGACTGATGGCCCGCCGCCGAGGCAGCAGGACGCAGCCGCAAGAGCGCGGCTCCTTGTGAGGGTGTAGTCGACGGCGGCGACTGGCGACGAACTTCTCCCAGCACCCGCCGAGAAAGGTCCCCGTCCAGGTTGTCGGGCACGATCCCCTGGCCCCAGCAGTCGGCCAGGCCCAGTAGACTGTCGTCCAGACTCCCGCGGTCGAGCTGACGCAAAGCCAAGAGAGAACGATTCGCCGTCTCCACCAGCTCCATCTCCTCCTTCCAGCGCGACAGCACCCGACGAGAAGTCGAAGCGGGGCGCTCCGGGCGAGCGAACAGCACCACCTCGGACAGGATGTCCCGCCGCCGAGACATGAAAGCCCAAATTCGTCGTGCAAAAGCTCACGGGCCAGCCGACGGCGATGATGCGAGTCAGCTGCAGCAGAAAGAAGACACTAGCCAAAACAGGCCGACGCTCAGGGGCACCACGACGCCAGCTGCAAGGGCCCCCCGGCTCGAAACCGAGTAGCCCCAATTGAAGCTCCTTGACTCTCACGGCGGGGCCACCGCGCCCCCGTCCAGGTCGGAGCGCGCCTTCATCAGCTGCGCGTCGCGACCCATGGCCTTCTTCATCTCTTCCTCGGCGCTCATCACCCGAATAGTGCTCTCGTCGGCGAGCTGGGGGTCCAAGCGACGCGCCGCCTCCAAGTCCACCTTCGACTTCCAGTTCTTGGCATCCTTGGGGCGGCTCCAGTCGTCGCGGCTGTTCACGTTGCGGTAAGCCCTCGCAATGGCGTAGCCCTTTCGCACCAACCCCTCGAAGCTCACCAGGTTGAGGAGTCCCCTCTGACGATCTGTCATCAGCATCGTGTCCACCGCGGCGAAGGCCGCGATCATCTCCCGAGCCGTGTTGCAGTCGCTCAGGCCGCGGTCCCTGATGAAGTCCCGCGCCCAGGCCTCGGCCGTCTTGCCTGACGAGTAGATCTTCGACAGCACCTCGGCCGAGATCCGCTGCAGGTAGCCCTCGGGCATGCGGCTGTTCCACTCCTCGGGCTCGATCTCCTTGTACTCGTCCAGCTGCTCCATGAACACCTGCTGAGGCAACTGAGCCTTGAAGCGCATCCGCTTGATGGCCAGCTCGACGGCCTCCGGCTGCGAAGTGGCAACTCGCTTCTCGGGCGTCTCCATCAACACCGCGGGGGTACTCTTCGTGGGCAACCCGAGCAAGGCGACGGCAGAAGCCGAAGAACTCGCCCCCTCGATAGCAGCACCATGCTCGCCAGCCCCGGCCTCCGCAGGCGCCTCGCCCTTCAGACGAGCCTCGAACCGGTCCAGCCGCGCAATCATGCCCTCGATCACCTGCTTGTTTGCCTCGGCGTCCGCACGACCACGCGAGTCCAGAGAAGCTTCGAGTACATCCCGACGTAACTCCCTCGTCCTCTCGGCGGTCCTGATCTCGCTGATCTCCTCCATCATGGCCTTCTGGGACTCCACGAGATCGTTCAGCTGGCTCTCCAGCGCAGCACTCTCTCCGCCTGAAAGATAGCCAGGCGGCGGCAAGGGCGGAGGCACCGAAGCAGTCGCACCGACGGGCACATCCACACTCGAAGCGCTTGATGACCCAATCGAGGACTCTCCATACTCCACGCTGTCCGACCACTCGTGGGCCGCCCAGATGGTCAGAAGAATCAGGGACAAGAACATCGCAAACCAACGCTGAAGAGGCATCAGCTTCTGGGCCCACTCCTTCCACTCCCACAGGTAGGTGGCCCACTCCTGGACGACCTCCGAGCTCTCCACGAACGCATCCTTGGCCGTGACCAGGTAGCTGATCGTGTACACCCAGACCTCCTTCATATACTCGATCACGCCCAGCAACACCAGCAGCTCGTACAATGCGAACAACGCGGCCAGCACACCCAGGAAACGCTTGGGACTCCTCAAAGACCACCTCAGCGTCTTGAGTGACGAAGCCCCCGAGCTGAAAACGGCATACAGGACGTTCACCGCGATCGCCTGCTGACCACCCTTGCCGGGGCGATAAAGCGGCAACATCGGCACCGTCGACGCCCTCAATCCCTCCGTCGCCTGGCTGACGTAGGCGTCCCTCTGGGCTGCAGAAAGAGGTGGCATCGGCCGCCACCGAATCCCCGCCACAGGGTCCGTGAAGATGGACGTATTCGCCGTGATACAGATCAGGCCTAGCGTCAAGTCCGGACCGATGACGGCCCACACGTTGCGTTTCTTGCGGCGCACTTACTGCACCTCCACACCGTCGGTCGCACTCTGGCGGTAGAAGCGGCGAGACCATGGCTCCACTGGCATCTGTAGCTCGAGACCCTCGACCTCGTCCGCTGAATCCTGCTCCACGATAGGATCACTCACCAAGGAGAATAGCGACCACACCAGGAGACCGAACGGCCAGCACCCGAAGCGAGCCGTCTCGTCGGCGCTCTGCAGCGCACTCACCGGCAGGTCCGGCACCTGCCCCTCGTCGTAGCACTCCAGCTCGACCAGCTCCCACGAAGAGTAGCCCGAACTGTCGGAATCGCCCGCACTGCTGCCGCGCGGTGAGCAAAGGAAGAAGTACTCGGGCGAAGCCGCAGAAACCCCTGCGGGCATGCTCGAGCCAAAGAACTTGAGCGGAGAACACAAACATAACGTGTTATGTCAGAACGGCGCCACCTGACTTTGCGCCGCCCCCGCCCTCCCCGCCCACCGACCACTTAACAGACGGGGGAGGGGGGAGGAGGAGAGAGGACCACGGCCCGAAAACTTCATTGTTTGCAACAACACACAAGAGGGGGCACGACGGCAATCGCGCTTCGCCCGACGCGGTCTGGGCGGGTGAGGTATCCTTCTCTACGGTGGCGCGAGGGCGCGAGGACAACAGCGTTGTCAGCGGCGCGGATCGCGAAGTTACGTCTGTGCGCACGAGTCTGTATTCTCCTCCAGAATTTATTCGTTCGGCAAGCTTCAAGATGTAAGCACGAAGCGTTCGGCAGCGGCATTCAACATCAAAGTGAGCGGTCCGACTTAGATTTTGCAGAGACAAATGTTTCTCCTGCTCCTCCCCCTTCTCTTGTTACTCCTCCTCCTCCTCCTCCTCCTCCTCCTCCTGCTCCTCTCCTCCTCCTCCTCCTCCTCCTCCTCCTCCTCCTCCTCCTCCTTTTCCTCCTCCAAGACCGTAGCCGGTTTGGCTCAAGATGTTTTCGCCCCGTGGCAGAGCAGTACGGAAACCCTTGGTCCAGAGACAGCGCAGGACCAATTTCCACGCCTTCCTTGCGCCCGCGAGGTCGAGCTTCATAACTCTCGCCACTGCATTCGCCTGCAGCTGGGCCATGTTGGGGGCCGTCTTGGACCATCTTGGGCGGACTTGGAGGCCATATTGGACCATCTTGGAGGCCATATTGGGCCAACGTGGCCATCTTGGAGGCCATCTTGGGCCATCTTGGAGGTTTTTTTACGGAGCGAGGTCCTTGGCAATCTTTCCGGGTGGCCGGCGGGACGGGCCGAAGCCCCAGGGGGAGTTCTTTTGGAAAAAGAAGCAAAGCCAACACCGAGAGGGTTCAGCACGCCAGGCACCCCTGCGATGAATCGACAGGGGGCGGCGGATCGAAGACGCCGTGCCTTGGGCGTGGACGGGTGTTTTGGGAGGCTCTTATGGACTTCATGGGGGCTTCGTCAACTCGTACAGGTCTCTTGGGGCCTCTTGGAGTCCTTTTGGGGCCTTTTGTGGTTTTCTTTGGAGCCTCTTGGGGGCCTCCGGAGGGCCCGCTGGCGGTCTCGGAGCGCATTGTCGGGAACAGGCTCGACAAGTCTGTTCGTGCTTTTCTTCGTGGGCCCTCTTGGAGCCGTCTTGGGGGCCGCTTGGGCCGCCTTGGACGTCGCTAGGACCGAACAGACGCGTATGTTGCGGTCGGACTGAGGTATAAGATCGTGGCGGGGAGGGCACCCAATTGTTCTTCGTGTTTGTCGTATCTTGTTGTGCATCCAGGAGGAGGTACCCTCGAGAGATCTTATGGTTTGGGGGACTTTGGCCGGCGGAGTGTTGCATGTTTTTTGCCGGATGTTTTAATGTCTTAGGTTCGGCCGGACACTCACTGGGAATTCGATGGTTGCTGAGTGATGGTCGTTTCTTGGGCTGGCCCCCAATGGCATCCGGATTTGCCCAACAGGCGAAGGCCCTGGGACCATTCAAAACCACGCTCCTGAGGCGTGTAAAGAATCGGCGGCACGTAAGAGTGACCTTTCCCCAGAGTGACCTTTGGTTCGGGCACACTGGCCCCCCAAAAGGTTGAACGCGATGCGATAGCAGCGTCTTGCGCGCTCGGGTTTGGCCCCCCGGTGGCCCCCGAAAGTTGCGCACCAAAGGTCAGTCTGGCATAGGGCCACTCTTGCCTGTAGCCGGAAGATCTCGCGCGCAATGCCCCGAGGGAGCCCTTAAGCGGCCAAGGGCGCCCAGGAGCGCCCAGAGCTCTGTGCCCAAGAGTCGATGCCGAGAGCCTGATTCGATGGACCCGAGAGCACTCGACGCAACAGAGTGCCAGCGTAGAGCATGGGACAACCGAAACTGCGGATTATTTGTGGGCCAGCGGCTGACCCCAGTGGCACTAGCCACGGCCCACGCAGACCAGCTCCTGCGCCTGGGCGGTGGCGGCTCGTCTCCGAGCGATCTCGCGTCCGAGCGAGGCAAGCTCGTGTCCGAGCGCCAGGTGCTCCTCGGTCCCCGCCTCGCGGCCCTCTCGCAGCGTGGCGACGTCGCCAGCTGCATGCAGCTGGTTTCCGCCCCGCCGCCCGGCCCATTCCTCGATACATGAACGCTCCCCGGCGCCAGGAAGCGCCAGGAGAAGCAGTTACGCGAGTTGATTATCTACCCTACCCTTTGCTATCCTACCCTTTCCCCCCCACCCCCGAGAGTAGAGTTGCTGGGGAGGACAGGACGGCGGCGGACGGCGAGTGGCGCCGCCCCCACAGGACCTCACCGTCGAGTTCAGAGACGCGCAGGCCCGCCCGCCGCCCTCGCCGTCAGCGGGGCTGCGCCGATCCGAGGGGGCCTCCTGGCGGCAGGCAGGGCGTCGCGTCGCGCGCAGGGCCAGCCGGGAGGTACAGTCGAGCTTGATTAGCAGGTCGGCCTTGCTAAAGCAAGGGCGCCATTGTGCCCTGTTTGTTCGCGGTGTATGCCTTCTGCAGTTCTATGGCAATGTCGCCCCCGGAAGAGTCCTGTGTCCTCTCGCGTGTCCTCTCCAATCAAGCTCGACTGTGCAGCCAAGAGGCACAAAGCAAGGCCACTTCGGGCTCACGGTGGCTCCGGTTCTCGGGCAGCTCCTCAGATCCATGTGAGGCTCAAAGCTCGGGTTCCGATTCTCAGGCTGTTCGTTCGATCGCCGCAAGGATCCAAAGAAGGGGCTCAAGTTTTCGGGCAACTTCAAAGATCCAGGTCGAAGAACCTATTGAACCCGTTCGTGGCCGAGGCGCACCTCGGCCAGAAGAACAACTCAGTGCCTTGGCAACGCCCTGGACCGTGCTTCCTCACATTGAGATCTGTTCCTTCAAGGTTTCCCACTTCCGCGCTGTGCCCGCGCCCCGGCACAGTCGTACAAAGACTTCACATTCTGAGCGTGTTCCTCCCTTTTTCCGCGCGTTCTTCTCCTCCTCCTCCTCCTGCCGCCCGCTGTGCCAAATTCGGCTACGTGCATCCCACGTCTGCCTTCGATCACGATACCTGTTTTCGGTCCCGGATGGCCGTGCATGGCCAACCAGCCGAGACGCAACACAACAACATGCAGTCTCGAGTTTGTTTTTCAAGATTTAGTAGCACTGATTCCAATCGACGGGTTTTGGTCACCCCTCATGGTTTCAAACGGACGCGCCTGAAACCTTGATCGGAGCATGTGCCTCATGGGGAAGTCTTGGGCGCTCTCAGCGCCTTCGGAGCTCGCGGGGCCTTTTACTGGCCGCCTCGCCAGGGCGGCAGCAGCCGAGAGTGGGCTCGTCGCTCGTGGAGCGCACCCCCGCGCCCCCTCCCCCTTTCTTCCTCCTTCACCTTCTCCTCTTCTGATTTCTGGGGCACGCAACCATCTGGACCAACAGCTCACATTCTGTGACCACGCAAAGGTAGAGACAGAGTCACGGATCAAGGCTGCTTGGAAGAAGCTTGGTTCATTTCAGCGGTGTTCACTCTTGTTTGTGCCTATTCAGCATTTTTGTTGGTGCGGCAATGATATACGGGTGTGCGTTGTGGACCGTTCACGACAGACCTTGAGCAACAAAAACGGGCGACCCTGCGCCGAATGCCACGTATGATAGTGGATGCAGCACGACGCCGGTACACCGACGACCTGGTAAACGGGAATGCACAGCGTTGATGCAATAGATAACGCTCACATAGCACCAACGGAGAGCGACGGCGACAGGGATGCACTTTCATTACAGTCGTATTCAGGTTCAGGCACGGCCGCGTTACCAATGCATGTCACGAGTGGGTCCACAAAAGCGGTGGAACACACATATGTCAAATTGGTTACGAGGTATGGGCCACAATGCACAGACGACGGAAATGGCGATTGGTAGCTAATTTGGTAGACAAAGAACACATGGAGCTAAAGAGTTGCGATGTGGTGCCCACCTGGTTGAGATGCGCGCGCCAGGAGGCTGCCACAGCGCCCTCGTCTATGATGGGTTGACGAAATCAAGGTGTCATGCAGATGGGGACTCGGAAACGCTGGCCTGCGATGACGAGACGTGGAATCAAATTGAACACGTGTACATTCGTAGGTCCAGCTCGGACTCCCCAGCGCTCCCGCCGTTCCCCACTGCCGCACCGGACGCCCTCTGGGCGACATCGGCGCCGCTCCGCTCCGCTCCGCCGCCGCGGCAGCCCCGCATTATTGGGGGCACACGGCGCGCCCCGAGCCCGAGGTGCGGAGGCGATCCCATACCTCAGGGGCAACCTTCGGGTTTGAGGTTCGATATACGCGGGCGCTCTTCGGGGCCAGGATCGTGTCCACAATATGATGTTGTGTGTGCCCACCACTTTGTGGCAAGTATCGGCCCAAACGCAGTGGATATCCGTGAAGGCTGCGCCCTCTGCTGCGGGCCCCGTCTCTATCCGAATGGGGCATGCAGAGGTTATGTTGGTATGCCTGCGCGCCGTCGTGAAACGAAACCTCGCAAGTCCTGCGAGGGCGATTGGTAAATCACAAGACAAATCGAGTTCCAGATGATAGTGTTGTGGTATGTTTTTTTGTTGTTTCTCCTCGTGCTGCGTATTGGAGGCTTTCTTGGAACGACTGGGGACTGCTTGAGGCTACGTTGGGCAAGCTCGCGCGGCTTGGACGGTCTGTTGCGTTTCTCGGCCTAGTAGCTGTGCTTCCTGATTCTACACGTTGCTGGCTGCGCTGGGCCAGGGGCCCAAATGCGCCGCCCTCATGGGCGGAACCCAGCCGCTCGTTCGCTGTCGGTTGGCCAGCCTCGGGGTGCCTTTCAGCAGCTGCGCCTCGCTGAGAGCGTTCCAGGGGTGCCCAGATCGCGGCGGTGACCCCAGCGCGGGCCTTCAAGGTTGAACGCCGCCGGTGACCCAGAGTCGGCCAAGAGGCAAAGATCTGGCGATCGAAATGCCG